AGAGCTGAGTCCAGCAGATGTTGTGGTGGAAGGGGAAAGGGGAGAGGGGGAGGGAAGGGGTATGGGGAGGCACAGATCAAGGCCCCCACAGAGAAGGAGGAAGTGGGGCTGGGGCAGAGACTGGGGCAGGCACTGCCCAGCTAGGGCAGGATGGGGCACAGGACAAAGCCATGGCTCCTCCAAAGGACATGGGGGGGGGAGGGAGGGGGCACAGCTTCCACTGCTGCATGCACCCCAGGAGCTCTGGGGGAGGGGTGTGCCCCTGGATCTGCATAGGGCAGGACGGGCTGCCGCTGCAGGTTAGGGCCAGGACTGCACTGGGCTCTTCCTGGCAGGGGCTGGCATGGAGGGCGGTGCTGGGAGGAGGGGTTCGGGGAAGGCTACAGTGAATTTTTGGGTGGCTGCAGCTTCCCTGTAATGTCCCTCCTAGTACCACTGCTGCCCACCCTGAGCACAGCCGTGCCCAGCTCCCACTGGGAAGAACCCAGCACAGCACCAGCCCCAGCCTGCAGCAGCAGTCCATCCCACCCCACACACACACCCCACATGTCCTCCCGGAGTATATGCAGCAGCAGGAGACGCCTCCACCCTGCACACCCCCTGGCCCCAGCTCCACTCCCTCCCACCCCACAGGGGCCTCGCTCTGCACCCCCCATGCCCCTTCCCCCCCCTCCCCCCATCTCTTCCACCACAGTAGACTTATCAGCCAGACACTGCTCTTCAAGCTGCTGGGCTGTGTATTAGAAATTGACCAATATGCATCCTTAAAAATCGGCTATCAGTATCAGCCCCAAAAATCTCTATTGATGCACCCCAAGTATATATAAAAAAATTCTACTTCCCAGTCCATCATATTTTAGATATTTCTTAACGCTATGCACAGATGCAAGTTTTGCTTTCCTCATTATGTAATAAGCATAAATTCAGTGTTGGTACAAACCCCATGAAATCAGCAGAATTGTGTTTGGAATTAATCTGGCCTATTGCACGTGCACCAGGCATTTAGGATCCACCAAAAATGATTCTGTGTGGTAGAGGGAATGGACAGGTGCAGTTTTAGAGAAGGAACTCTTGACAGTCTTGCGTTCTCTCTTGTCCAATGCTGGCAGGGTAGTGGAATAACATACAGTAGGATGTAAGTAACTGCTGCTGATGGAGCCATAGCCAGGCATTTAGGCACCCAATGCAGGTCACGTGCTGATCAACCCATCCTCCCTCCCTACCCCCCCCTACACAGTACTAAGTAATATTACTTCCATTTGATCTGGCCCCACCCATGCAGGGGTACCCAGTGCCAGTGCACTGTTGGCACCGCCCTTGCTACAGTACTGGCTGCTGAAAAGGAGCAGCATGCACCTTGCAGTGGGACAGGCAGATGACCACATACCTCCCACAACTTTTAAACTAAATTAACACACCCCATTCCTACCCACACCAATTCCAGCATCCCCTCACCCTAAACATTGAAGCTCTTTGCTCCATACAGATAAACTGTTCATTCAGATGATAAATACATGAAATAGATATAAGCAAATAACTTAGTTCAGTAGTTTCTTATAGACATCATGGAATAGTTGAGTCTCTTGGAAGGATCTGAACAAGAGAAAGGAGCAGAAACTTTCCCAACTCAGCTCAGGAAATGCACTCCACATGCAGTGACGTGGGAGCAGAAGCCAAACAGGAAAAGGTTGCTTTCACCGATGAAATCAGGGTGTAATGAGCCAATGTGAGAAGGGATAAGGGGAAGAAGGGATAAAGAGAAAGGAAATTGTATAATATCTCATGATACAAAAGTATTTGCATTGTTTTTCTTACTAGCCTTAGATTTAAGGGAATAATGAAGAACAAATCTTTACCATTAGTCTCAAGCATGGCAGATGGGGGACTGTTAGTCAGAAGAATCCAATATCAGAGATATTTCAAGATTTTGAAAAAAAAACGGACATGGTAGCAGGTACCCATCAGTTTGATTTACAAACTACACACAACATGAGAACCCAAAAAAGACAGGTAATTACACCCCAAATATGCTTATGCTATCCTGAGCTAAGCAGATACTTGGTCCAGTTTCCAAGTGGAAATTTTTATTGCTCGGAAGAACTCAGTGGAACCAGGAGGAGGGAAAGCCTTTCCTTACACATAGATACCTAGATGACGAGGAATAATAAGAAAGGAAAATGATTAATGCAATAATGCACTAACTGACTTTTCACAAATGAGGAGAAGTGACTGTGGAAAACTCAGACACAGACCCTGCAATTCAGCAGTTAAATATTCTTGTTTGTAGTGGGCTTGGCTATCATTTCCTGTCTTCTTATAATTGGCTGCTTGTACCTGCTTGCTGTTTCCTTATTTGTCAATATCATCTCAGATGACAGAGGCTGTTGTTTACCACTTTCCTCATTTTCCAAACCTCTCCATGTTGGATGTGCTCAGTACTTTATCATGCTGCCTCTGTTTTTCTGCTGTTTGCATTTTTTTTCAGATCTGCCCAATTCCTCAGTTGACAGACTGGTACTGCGTAAACTGTCTCCATGTCTGGAAATGTTCCTAACAATTCACTGATCTCTCAAATCCTTAAAATCAGTGAAATAGGAGAGTTTAAGACCCATTGATAAACTTCAGTAAATTACAGATACAAGAAATGTATTAATTCACCTCTATTATATTTAAGGGATGTGCATTTGTCCTCTAAGTATTTCAGGAAACAGATCATTAGGCTCACCATTCCCTTTGGATATTAGCAGCTGTATTATATCCATTTGTTAAAGGAGAAATAAAAAAAAAAATACAATAGGACTGAAAATCCCTAATTGATTAAAATTCACTTAAGTGTCACAGAAATCACAATTCCAGTTTTATTCTAACTAGTCTTTTCAAAGAATTATTTCACTATAGAGCATTACAACATGCAGTTCCAACTAAGCATAGCATATACCCATTTTCTGGAACTGAACTTCAGTAGGAAAATTGTACGTGGTTAAACATAAGCATATGCTTATACTGCCTGCTCAGTTGCAGCCTGCATCACTTTAATGATTATATTATCCTGTTTTGTCTAGCACACCAAAGAAGTAGCCATTCCAGACTTAACGTGGTAACAGGAGGTAACACATAGCCCACATTTTAGGCTTTGCCACCAGAAATCAAAAATGTTTTAAGCAACTTGGACTTTTACCAAAGTAATGGGAGGTAAGAGTACTTAGCCACTTGGAAGATTTGGTCTGAGATTCTGCAAATTCCTGCCTGTTTGGGACAGAGATGTATTTCTATTACATTCCAGTGATTAAAAAAAAAACCCAAATATATGTTCTCCAGCTGCCTGTGATCCAATATTGCAAACATAAACTGGTACTTTTGTAGCAGAAAGCCCCCTTTTCCTCTTGCCTGCATTTGCTCTCCCTTCTTTGGATATGTTTCTCTTTTTCTACCTTTCTTCCTTCCTCTTTCTTTCACTTTAAGATAAGGAATTGTGTTTTAAAATTTGTATGTGTGCATTTTGTGTCTCCCCTTGTAGTTTGGTATTTTTATCTATTTGTGTGCCATGGCATTTGTAGCTTATATTTTATACTCCTCACCTTTCAACTTTCAACTAAATGTGTTTTAGTAAGTTATACATTGTAACAATGTTAACAAGGGCAGGAATCAAACTGTCCTTCTCTGTATCAGGCTGGCCCCTGAAAGAGCCAGTGAATCAGTGATTGAATGTGTAACAAGGTAGCACACAGAAATTAACACCTGGGAAGCTGCAGATCAACCAAGGGAAGAACTCAATAGAAGACAATGTAACAACCGGGAAATCTCTAAACGTCACTGATCAAAGGCTAGAAGCCCTGGCCTGAGTTAATCAACGCCAGAGACCAACTTTTGGGCTGAATATCTCCAGATGAGGGGGGGGAAGTCCCACGAGGGTCAATGACCCCTGGATTGGGCAAACCTGAAAACTGGGGAGTCACCAAAGTCTGCCAGGGACAGATAAAAGGCAGTGAAAAGTGACCCTCAGTGGAACCCTCTTGATCTCCAACTTGACCAGACCTGTCCAGCCAGAAGGACCAGCCGGCGACCCCCTTCTGGAAGATAACACCACGCTGAAAGAAGCCTCAGCGACAGACTCCAGTGCTTGTAGGATAGGTATACCTGACTCTGTAGCCTGCTACTGTGTGTGTGTATGTGTGTGTGCATGTGTGTGTGGGGACCAGCCCCAAGGTTTATGATTACAGTGTTTCAATCCGCCTAATAAACTAGAATTTTAAGGATCCTGAGTTGGACATTTGTAGCCAACACTTTCTTGCCAGTGCATGCCAAGACCTTGAACTAGAGACTCAAAGTGATATTGACTAGAAAACTAAGCAGAAACTGAGCACGCTATTTCATTCTTCAAACCACAGTTGCTAGGAGCAAGTTTTCAAGTACCATGGACAATGCTTTAAGCAGACTGGAGAGACTTGAAATCCCTGGCTAAGAGACTGTTTTATGCATATTTAAAGGAACTTTTATGTTTGTATTATGAATATCTGACAGTAAGAAAAAATGTTACTGTGAATGCATGTGAAACTGTGACATCTTTCAGATTTGAAAAGCCAGCCTTTGCAAACATTTGTTGAAACCTCCCCCTTCCTCAACATTTCCTGCCAGAGGTCTTCACAATAATGTCACCATTTCCACTCCTCAAAATTCCCCCATTCCTAAAAGTTTCTTTACCTCATCTCTCCATGTCTTCTTATTAGGACTCTAGAGTCTGACCTCTGTAGCATCTGTATCCTGCCCATGCACAGCAGCAGGACACTGAGCCAGGAGAGAGACTGCTGTATGCCAAGAACACCTGCTACAAAGCATGTTCCTGCTCTGAACATGCCCAAGCTTTTCATTCCACTCCCACATTACAGTAATTAATTGTGGGCTTCCCCCAGCCCCCCCCCCCCCCACACAAAAGATCCTACACACCCAACTAATGGATCCTAGACTCACCCCTGACATACATTAATGAATACTACACTCACCTGTTAACTCACACTCGAAATTCCTGATTCTTTGGTGGTCCCTCTGAAACCACTTATTTCCTGGATATCTGTAAGGTCATTAGCTTTGCAGGGCCTCTTCACTAGGAAACACTTTGTTCTTGCCTTCTTCCTTTCTGTAAAAAACAGAATCATAGAAAAGCAGGGCTGAAGGGACCTCCAATGGTCTTCTGAGTCCAACCCCTCATCATGTGCAGGATCATCCCTATCTAAAGCATCCCACTAAATGAAACTTGCCCAGCATCTTAGTAAAACTGCTACATGGTCAACCCCAACAAAACCATAAGACATAAAACCCCAACTTGCCACAGGTAAAGCAAAGGGACTGAAGCAGCCAATGTCCTGCTGCTACAAGGGTTGTTAAAATAGACTCAAGAGATCCAAGTACCTCTATCTCAGGGGCGGGCAATTATTTTGGATGGAGGGCCACTTACTGAGTTTTGGCAAGCCATCAAGGGCTACATGACAAGCAGCCAGGGGCAGATAAATATAACTTTTTCTAAATTTTGGGGAGGCCCCACAGGCCGGATAGAATGGCCTGGCAGGCCGCATCTGCCCGCGGGTCACATTTTTCCCATCCCTACTCTATCTGGTCTGCTCCTCTTTTTTCCATCCTTTTGAAATGCAAGCAGCGCACACACACATCTTTACTCCTAAAAATAAATGAGAGTCTATCACTGGCCTCTCCACCCTCTTCAACCAAAACAAACAGCACATCCCTAACCCTGTTAAATCCCCTGGTCTAATCTGTTCCAGGGTACCGTGACTTCACAGATATTACCCGTAGCTGTGTAAAGTTAATAAAATGAGACTAAAACAAAATCTATGTGTCCTGACCAAAAGAGGGATTGTTCACAGATGCACCAAAATACACCAAATTAAAAAAAAAAATTCCAGTTGCTAGATGGAGGTTAAGTAAGCCATTAGAGCAGATTCCTGAGGTTAAATATATACTGGGTGCCTCATTTAAAAATAAGAGTGGTGGTACAGTGTAGCGAAATGACATATTATTGAGCTCGAGCTTGATATAGAAATCACTGGGTGAAAGTCGACAGCCCGTCATATGCAGCAGTTCAGATTACATGGAGAAATTACAGATTTGTAATAGCTGTCCGTCTGGCCTTAAAATCTATGGCCCTGATACTGCAAAAACTTTAACATACTTAATTGCAGTAAAGTTAAGCATATACGTAAGTGTTTGCACGACCAGATCCTGTGAATCTATGAAGCACAGAAAATGACAGAAGTAGCCTCCATCATTTAAATTAAATTTTAAACAAAGAGGTTAATTGCAGTCATGAGGGATTCCCCATCAGAAACAGGGAGAACATTTTTGCTTTTTTTTTTTTCCTTACAAACTACAGTCTGAGCCTTCAGAATGGGAAGGAGGGGGCAAACACACCACAACAGCTTTTTAAGAATAATGCCCATCTTCATTCATCAGCTGATATATTTGTGTTATGTGTTGTGTATGTGAAATTTACATTAGCATAGATAAAAAACATAAGGCTTAGAATGAGTCCATCTTTGAACAGGTTTGGGTGAAAAAGTCCCTTCAAATACCTGCCTGTAAACTTTACAGACCATGAAGTCTGGGCAGTAGATCGTTAGGATGGTTAAATCTATGTATATGTATTAATTGAGTGTGAAGAGATTATATGTATGCAGGTCATTATACCACTCACAGACTTAAGTGCAGTTGTTCTCCATTATTCTTTATAAACAGGCGTAGTCACGATAGCAACCACTAAATCAATTGAAACCACACACCCAATACAAAACAGGCTTGAAAACATCTTTCTTTAAAAGATAAATGCAGACTTCTCTATATATTATAAATGACTCCTGTAGAGAAGATTTTTTTTTTTTTTAAATGAAAAAGAATTTCCTTATAGTGAAAGAGAACTTTAATTCTATTTTACACACATCATTCCAAATTCCGGTTCATTCCTCACAACAGTATTCTCTGTTACTTACAAATGTTTTGTTTCATTTTGTTTTAAAAGGTGAGTTGTACACACAGAGGGGAAAAATTAACTGATGAGGTGAACAGTTGGATTGCAAATCAGCCATGTATTTATTCACTGTCGCTGTTGTAAAAATGGGGCCAGGTTCTGGCTCTCAGAATGGCCCCATGCATCTTTTAGGGATAAATTCTGTATATAACACCCTTCTCTTCCATCCTGCAATGCACCCACTTCTCCCAAATCTTGAAAAACACATTACAGCAACCTCTCCTTCCTTCCTTCCTTCCTAGCCTGCCAGAGAATAAGCCTGAATGACAAGGGGGAAGACAGGAAGGAGGCGTGGTTAACTTCTGAAGGAAAGCTAATTACATGGAAAAAAAAATCTTTAACCTTTGTAAAGGATCATCACCCTCCTGGTGTATTGTCCTGTCCCAAGATGCTGTCTGCTGTACTCCAAAGAAAGATATTTGGTCTGATAAACATCTGAACATCCTATTCAGTTGCTAATGTTTCACACGTTTAGTCTACCTTATTTTTACAGCTCAAGTAGAGCAGCCTACTGCAGGTACCACTGTGGAAAAGCTGAAATAGCTTGCTCCACTCCCTCCAAGGGCACAACTGAAGGTGACTGAAAATAATCCTGTATCATAAGATATGTACAGACCCCAATCTCCTTCAGGCTGCTCTAGATATTTTCTCCCTTATTCTTTCCAAAATTATCGTTCCTTTCAATATTCCAAAGTCTGCCACTGCTTAAAATGTTCTTTATAACTTATTACATCCTTTCAGTCAGATTTTGTCTTTGTCATTTCCCATGCCATCTATATCATCTTAGTTTGTTTTTTCAAACGAATACCTCAAATAATTCACAGCTGTGGGCCATTTATTTTCCAAACATCGCTTAATTATTAGAGGTAACCACAGGACAGGAAAACAAATGACTATGCATAAGATTATTTAGTATTCTGGGATCAGAAAAAAATCTCAGATGCAAGAAGACAAGCCATAATGCTAACAACAAATTTACTTTGTAATTCTTTCAAAAAAAAAAAAAAGCCATAATGCTAACAACAAATTTACTTTGTAATTCTTTCACCTGTCACAACCCAGTGATTTTGGTGCCTCGGCACTATGGAATTTCCTGGCCACATGAGAGCTCCTTTGCACGGCAGAGTGTTCTGCTGCGATTGAGAGCCTGCGTGCAGGAGAGGGTTCCCGCCAATTTACAGTTTCTTTGCAGGATGCATTTCTTCTTTGCAGCACAGAAATGCACGGTGCAAAGAGTTCCCGCTATTCGGATGTAAATTTGTGCCCCGCTATTGGCCAGTGCTAAATTATTCACATGTGGCGGCTAGTAATTGGCTCGCTGGCTGTTTAAAATTCCGTGCAACTTCCACCCAAGTCGAAGAGCTTTGAGCACGCTGCAGAGTGCCTCTGAAGTTATCTGACTTGTGGCTGCCGATTGATAGACTGATCACCTATCGATCTTTCTTCCCGTCACCGAGCGCAGCCCCGACGTACCCCTTTCCCCGCCGGCTTCGAATTGCGGACAGATTAACTGGCTTGGGCCCCGCCAGCTGGAACAACTCGTGTGGTTGTTCAGACGACCGGACCACCTGCGTCGTGATTGCAAGCGGCATGCGTAAAGTTTTTTACAACCAATAAGTTGTGTCTGCCTCTCCATTCACCAGCCCGCCCTGACGTACGAGCATAACTCGAGTCGGCCCTGGCCGTCCGAGACATGTCGACGAGGACGGGATCTAAGGGCACGGTGATGGAGATGAATCTGATTGGGTGCTGCCCCTGGCGCACCGGGACACGCCGCATAGAGAATGCAAACGATCTATGGGTGCATATCGCTTACCACCAGGTGATAGAAGGGGATCAAAGAAATATTGATGGTTACTTCTCCGTAAAAAGAGAAGAAGCCGTAATAAAAGAATGGAGAACAAAGCTATCCCTCGGGGAGTTCGGTTGCATAATGGGGAGCGACTGGATTTATTATCGGCCCCCGGAGGAAACATCAACCATATCCCTAGCTGGGGTGAAGGCGCGGAAGGCAGAAAAGCTGACCCCCGCTCAGGAGTTCACTCAATGCACCCGATACTTAAAGG